TTTTCCGATTCCGAGATCTGCACGAACATTAAAATATTTGCAAGAATGTATATCACTATTGCCTTACTTGAGCTATGAGCTGTGGATGGCGTCGCATTTCATGAAAGATAATCTCTCCAATTGATAAATCGGGTGCAAAATAATCACGTGCATTTTCTGCACCCCATACTTTATGTTCCGCATCGTAAGTGATCTCTGGTTTGAATAACATGCCGACTTCAAAAACTTAGTATTAATGACTGGTGATACGAAAAGGTTCGGGCTGCTTTTTATAGAGCTGGGGGTTGTCTTAAGGAAAGATAACGCAGCCTAATCTTATTTGCCATTAGATTAATAAATGAGCATAGCTTAGGAAAGTCACCACAAAAATCTGAACATATAGTGTTAATACTTCTAGCGCTCATATTTACTCAGACCCCGAATGTAATTGGTATTTGTTGGCGTAGGCTTGGTGACTTCCCTATTGTCTGTTCGGGTTGCCAGATCTAAACGGATGGTTGCTAACTGTAACTATCTCTGCTTGTAAATGAATACCATAAAAAACATCAAAAACTTCATATATCCTATCACTGTTGTTTTTTTTTTATACCCTGAACCCATTGAAAATTGGAAATGAGGGTATAATGGTTTTGTGAAAAAGTATGTAACGGGCAGAATGAATCATCGCAGACCCCATAAAGTATATAAATTCTTGATCAGCGTGACGAGCTGAGTTGATATAGCCCTGTCCGTCTCTCTGTCCGTCCGTATGAGTGCGTCGATCTCTGAAGTTATAAGAGCTAGAGAGCTGAAATTTGGCATGCATAATCGTGTGTACCATACGCAGTACAAGCTTATATTTGTTCGATAACTAATTCGTTGAGTTTTTTCAGCCTAATTTGAACACGTTTAGATCTAGAGACTTCAGATTTACTGTGTATATACAGTTGATGGATACGAAGATTTTGTAATTTACAGATTTTGGATACCACGCCCCCATCGTCCCTAATTTACAAAGTACTAGAGACCTGTGCTTTGGAATGTATACACATATTATTGTATACGCATATTGTCCATCTACAAAAGAAATTAGTCAACAAATAAATTCTCATAATATTGCCCACACTGCAGCGCAGCCCAAACGCTGTCGCTGCTTACTGCGCAGTTAACAAAGCGCGTGCTTATACATACGTGTGGATGCATGTGTGCATAAAAGAAGTGCAGAATACTTAGAATATCAGCTTGGAGGGCTCAGGGTATCTCCTAGTCGAGCAGTCTCGACTAGAGCCTTCTTACTTCTTTTTTGCTTACATTGCATATTTTCTATATTGTTAGTCATTCCGCCTGCAATTAATATCATATATTTAAATGCTGACGACATTCTGGGAGTGCTTTTTATGGTGTTTTCGTTTTTTATAATCATACTTAAGAAGGTTTCGTGTTATTTGTTTTCCAGAGCTAAAAGATATCAGTGATAAGCCTGTGATCTCTTGCCTCACATACATTTCCATTCATTGATCCACAGCTCCTCAGTCTAAATTCTTAAGTAAATGATGACTCGTTATAATTTAGCAAGTTTCGCGGTTAAAGGAGTTCCCTTCTGATTATGGTATGATCTTTATTGTGAATAATCAATGATCGATGTTTGAATTTGATTGAATTTCTGAAAAGAGTATTACTTGATGTTGACTGCAAACGCCAGGTCCTCTTCAGTCTAATACGTAGATAGATGTTATTACTTTTACTATTTTTGATTTAATATAGTACTGAACTTTTTATTTGATAACTCACTTTAACTTAAACTAATCCCCTTAAAAATGGGCCTCAACCCTTTAATTTCTATCTTTAACCTCGAGAAAGTAGGCTTTTGTGGCCTGGCGGTTGGTCTTGCCATTTGCAGTTCGTTTTAATTCATCCACGATGATAGCCCCTCCATGTAATTGCTTGTACTTGGCACTGGTATGTTGTTTCACAAAGTCTACTACATCCTGTGCGTGTAGGGTGGATCCGATCTTTTTAATGACAGCAGCGGCGGCCTCGTCACCATTGTATTCATTCCAGATGCCAAAGACACAGACCTCTGCCACTTGGGGCATCTGAGCAATCACGTCTTCTATTTCGTGTGGGTAATACATGATGTTCTGGTACTTGAGCATCTCTTTCTTCCGCTCCACTATATAGAGGAAGCCATCGTCATCCATGTAGCCCAGATCGCCACTGTGAAACCAAAGGGCTGAGTCCCGCACTGAGTGCGACTCCTTCGGGTTGCCATAGTAACCAGGCCAATACTGACCAGAGTAGACGCACACTTCGCCCACCTCGTTCGGTCCCAACGGCTTTCCCTGATCATCGATTATCTTTAACTTGAAGCCATCCATCACACGACCAACTGAATTGGGTTTTTTATCAAAGTGATCATTTTTGGACACCGCACTTCCGACTTCCGTGAACCCGTAGGCCAAGTGCATACAATCGTTGCGCAATCGACTCCTTATTTTATGCTGCGCCTCCAAGGAGCAGCGACCACCTCCATATAGGTAAGTTCGTATGCTAAGCAAATCAGCTTTCTCGAATTCCGGGCAGTTTGCTATCATAGCCAAGTGTGAAGGCGCCTGTATAAGCCATGTCACCTTGTGCTCCGCAATGATTTGCAATAAATGCGCCGGATCGAATGGATTATCAGCTATGATTCGCTTTGTACTGTAAACCCCAGAGGTAACCGTTGTAAGTAGACCAGTCACCCAGTCTAAAGTGCTATGCGTGTACTGAACGTCCGCAGTGGTTAGGTCGCTAGAACGATTCGGAATTATATTTTAAGAAAATCAATATAATACTTAGTGACACTACTTACGGACTAGTGTTAAGAATCTTTCGGCTGTTCGTGATGGTCACTGCTTTGGGAGTGCCCGTAGTACCCGAAGAGCAGAGAATGGCGAGAGTTTGAAGATTTCCCTGTTCAAGGTGAGCAGGCTTGAAGTTCTCTTCCACAGGGGTGGCCAATACCTCATCAATACTAATAGAGCCCATCTGATGGTTTCGCATTGTAACGATCTTCACTTCTAACTCAGCCGTAGCTGCTTTCACTTTTTCGTAGTCCTCGCCATCGCAAAATATAATACTTGGCTTTGTTATGTTGAACAACTTTTCGATAGTCGCCTGCTCATATGATATGTTGAGGGCGTGAAAGGGAATTCCATTGAAGAAGCATCCGTAGGTTACGGCAAAAATATGTGTGGTATTCCTTGCGATGATTCCCACAACATCTGACTGCAATAATCCTAGGGATCTTAGATAGCTGGCCACACACATCGAGTTCAAGTGGATTTCTTCCCGTGTTAACACGGTGTTTTCAGTGACAGATATCTAATCAGAATGATTATTTATTATTAGTTAGCGATTGTCCTAGTTAGCCTTTTAAGAAATCTACTTGAGCTATGAGCTTCGGATGACGTCGCATCTCATGGAAGATGATCTCCCCTATGGATAACTCTGGAGCAAAATAGTGGCGTTCCTCTTGTCCACTCCATATTCTGCGGTCCGCATCGTAAGTGTTTTCCGGCTTGTAAGGCATTCCGAATACAGCTAGTTTACTATCGTGACTGATGACATGATGCTGGATGTACTTGTGCTTTTATACTATTGTAGCGATAGCGTGATTACAAATTGTAAATAGCAGTAGCTCGTGTGAGTGTGAGTGTGTGAGTGTGTGAGTAGATCAAGTTCACAATTATATTCAAGTGAATTGTTGAGATAATCTTGACTTGATACCAATTTAAACTACGTGTATGTTTGGCTACGATATGCGATGATGAATATTATAATTTCTTAGGCATTCATAACTAATTATATATTCTCTTAGGCGTCTATCAACATGCGTAAGTTGAGCTTAAGAGTCACTCTGAGTCACTGATAGAGCATCAATAAAATCAATGAAAATATATGCTTACAAAGTAGGCACGCTCATCTTATCTGCTGGTTGTTATAAAAAATACGGATCCGAGAGCAAAACAAGTTGCATTTTCCACTCATTCAACTGAGATAAGAAATGCATATATGTATATATATATATATATATATATATATTTCTACAGCAGTATATGCATATATGTATGTATATTCAAACAACACACTCACACAGCTAATTCAAAAGTATCAAAATTGTCATGACTTGCATAAATCTTATTGAGGTGTAGTATTAGCTAATACTATATAGCTAATACTATATAGCTTTATTAGTTAACCTTAGATCATATTGCTTGATACATAAGATTATATTTATTTATTTTTATGGGACATTTTATTGTATACATTGTATTAAGATTCGATTCATGATTGTCATCTGTTAAGAGTTAAAAGTTATTTCGTAAACATGAGTAAAAATTGTTCATTGTGTTTTAGTTTTCACTGGGTTTTTATATAGCATCAGTTTTTTATAGATTAACCTGTTTATCATGGAATTTTTGGTACCGCACTATATACCCACTTTTTACAGCGTCAAATTCTTTATACTCGTTCGCAAATTAAACGGAGTCTATTGGGACTGGGCAATGGCAAGCAAACTCGATCGGTCTCTACAAATAGTCGCATTTAGTCTATAAATTATGAGTATAGCAAACTATCATATAATATATTTATTAATATTGAATTGTAAGTTTGATTATATACATACTCTTCCATTTATACATCACAGACATATAAAATATATTTTATATTTATTTATACAGAAAGAACACCAACTTATCTTTTTGACCAGTATTTGACAGTCGGTTACAGCCGACTGTAACGCTCTCACTCGTCTTGACTTGGGGGTAACCATATACAGATTCTCCCAAAGTATTTAACGTAATTAGATGATAATGAACCATGTTGGTCTCGCAAGCATTCTTATCTATGACAGGTATATTTCCAGTTGTAGATCAGTTTTGGACTACCCTAAAGTACATTGTAATTATGTAAACAATTATTATGATATCTCTTTAGCTAATTACTTTGCTGATCCAGAAGAAAATATTGTTGTTAGCTTCAATTTAAGAAATCCAAAAGTTTAATATTTATTTTATAAAACTTTCATATTGTCTTAACTTTTACTCAATTCCTTTTGCATTAGATTTCGTCATAGACTTGGATTGGCTTTTATGTTAACTACTTATTGGTCGGCTCTGTTTTCTGGGCCGATTTCAGATAGGCAGCTTTTACAGCCTGACGATTAACCTTGCCGTTGGCGCTTTTGGCCAGCTGGGGCACAATCTGAGCACCAGCATTCAACTGTTTGTACTTGACAGCAATGTGCTGGGCCACAAAGGCGATCACCTGAGCGGAGTTCAGTGGGGCATTTGGCTTGGGCACCACCGAAGCCGCGGCTGCGTCGCCTACGGTCTCGTTCCAAATGCCAAAGACGCAGACCTCGGCGACCTGCGGCATTTGGGCGATGACCTCCTCGATCTCATGCGGATAGTACATCATGCCCAGATACTTGAGCATATCCTTTTTGCGTTCTACGATGTGCAAATAGTTATCCTCGTCAAAGTAGCCCACGTCGCCAGTATGAAACCAGCCCCCCTTGTCCTGCATCTCTGCTGTGGCCGCAGAGTTGCCATAATACCCCCTCCAGTGCTGCCCGTTGTGGCAGTAGAGCTCGCCCTGCTCGTTCGGACCCAGCGACACAGCTGACTCGCTGACCACGCGCATGCGTATGTTGCCCAGGAGGCGGCCCACGGACGTGGGTTTCGAGTGGGTAGTGTAGTTACAGGAGACGCAGGTGCCCAGCTCTGTCATACCATAGGCATTGCGCAAGATGCCCTCGCCCCGCAGGTAGCTCTGCATCTTATTCAGCGTGGCCACCAGCGTGTGGCCCCCAGCGAAGAGTAAGTGCCTCAGACTGAGCAGCTGGCGCACGTCAGTAGCTGGACAATTAGCCAAAATGGCGATATGCGAGGCGGCCACCACAGCCCAGCTGACGCTCTCCTGCTCGCACATGGATAGGAAATGCTCGGCACTGAAGGCCTGCTGCGATATGAGGCGCACTGTGCCGTAGACCCCAGCCGTAATTAGGGTTATCAAGCCTGTGAGCCAGTCCAGGGTGCTGGGCGCGTACTGTATGTCGTTGCTATTCAGATATCTGGAGGAAGGTAAGAGATAATCATAATACCCTGTGTTCTACTCTGGATTGAATAAAAAAGTTTCCCAGGGATATTGGGCATACGGTATATCTAGCCAATGTCCTACCTATGACTCTCGAATATTTGACGGCTATTCGATATGGTTACGGCCTTGGGTGTGCCCGTTGTGCCCGAGGAGCAGAGTATGGCCATGATGCGATCGATGCCACGCTTAAACTGGCTGGGCTTATAGTCCTCGGGAATAGACGCTTGCAGCAGCTCCTGAATGCTCATGACGCCCGCTATGCGTCCATGTATGATTATAATGGGAACATTTAGTGCTGAGGCGATATTTCGCAGCTTTTCATAGTCTGACGCGTCGCAGCAGATAAGCCGCGGCTTGGTTATGTCAAAGAGATGGCGTATGGTGCGCTCCTCCAGGCTGGGATTGATGGCATGAAAGGGCGTGCCATTGAAGAGGCAGCCATAGGCCAGAGCTGCCAAGTGCGTGCTGTTCCTAGCCAGCAGGCCCACAATGTCCGTTTCCGCGACGAAGCCTTGAGCTCTCAGATACACACTGAATTTAGCCGCATTGTGCAGCATTTGAGAGCGGGTGAGCCGTGTTTTCTCGCTGTGCGAGATCTGAAATATGCGATGCGGATCGCTTTGCAGCTGGCGGAATATGATTTGACCTATGGTCAGATCGTCATTGTAGTAGCTTTGCTCCCGCGCGCCTGACCATATCTTGAGCTCGGCATTGTAACTGGTGATTGGGTTAGCGTTGAGATCCAACATTCTGATGTAACTGATGCAGTTGTCGCACGGATTGGCCCTATTTAAAGGTCAAAAGTTGCCTGCTTTACGTGATAACTGTAAACAGTTGGGCACGCAACAGATTCACATGACACGCGATCACTTTTATGATTATCGGCAAGATCGTGCCGAGAATTGGACGTCAATTTAGCGCTTAAAGTGTTTAATGCATATGTGAACTATTTGAGGCCATATGGCCATATGCCGGCATTTGACGTTTGTTTGACAGTTTGTTGCATTCATAGGATTATTAACTTCAATTAAAATATGATTTTTTTATCTACCTATTCCTGTACAATTGATTAGTGCAAATTTTTGAACATATGACTACTCTCAATTACTGACTGCTATAATGAAATAACTGCTTATTACATGACAAGCAGTGGAAATATTCTGTCATGAAACTGTATACTTTGTTCGATCGCAACTGCTTTGATTGTTCTAAGGAAAGCAGTACTTGGGTGTCATATAATACGAACAATTTTATAGTGCTGCTGGTATTTTTCTTCAATGGTTGCAAGCAGTAAAATATGTTCTATTTAAAATAAGATTAACAGAAACTTTTATCTAAATAAAACAAAAAGCAAAATATAAATTTTTCAGAAAAATATATATTAAAAAGTTAATTAAATATATATATATATATTTTTTTTTTATAAGAAAATAATGATCTGTAGTTTGTTCATAAGCTGATTCAATATTCAATTCCATTCAACATTATCTCAGCTCCACTTGGCTTAGACGAACCCCAAGGGGACTCTAAAACAAATAAATGAAAGTAATTAAAAATAATTTATAAATAGAGAAACAGTTATGACTTCAGTCTTAGTATTAAAGAAGTCGACACCAAGCGAGAAAAGCTGCCATATTCGCAAAATAAAAAAAGATTTGGTGCATTTTAAATTTGGTTTTTATTTAAACATGCCATGTTGTGTATTTTTCTTATTTTCTTCTTTTTTGTATTTGTTTTTATTTAATTTAATTTTTCTTTTTTTATCATTTATAAACATTTCACAAACATTTTCATTATTCTTGGGGTTTTACACATTTGTTTTGGATTTGTTTTGTTTTTGTTTTCAATTCGGGTTGATGGCAATACAACAATTATTTCAACTATTTTGTATAATTATTTCACTAATATTTTACTTATGCATTAAAATTTCATAATCTCTTTTATTTGCCTTGATTTTTTGTTATTTTTTTTATTTTATTTTTTTATTTGCGGTTTTTGGTGTTGTTCTTTGATTTCGGTATATTTTCTATTTCAATTAACTTTCGCGGGCTGCACTAAAGCAAATGTTTTTCCCCTTTTTATTTACTTTTACTTTGAACGCATGATCTTAACTATTTAGAATTTTCTTGCTGATGTATTTTTGTTAGCTAATTATTAATTATGTGTGTGTGTTTGTGTATATCTGTATGTGTGTGTGTGTGTGTGTACACTTAGCTCTATAAAGTAAGGATGTTGCAGGTTTTCAATTTGTAACTGATTCGTATTTACATTTTTTCAATATATGTGTTTGTTCCTCTTAGAAATGATAATTGCAGTTTTTCATTTGTTTACTTTCTTTACTTTCATATTTTGTTTTTGTTTTTTTGATTGTTAGAATTGGGCTTGGCTAAAGGGCCGCCGCTTTTTAATGCTTGAAGATATGTGTTATGATTTAAAAATTTTTTTTTCATTTATTTTCAATTTGTGCGAGTTAAATTTCGTTAGAGTAAAGAGTGAATTAGTGTTGGAAAAGTGATGTGAAGAGAATCAATCGTTTGTCTGTCTATGTTGGTGTAGATTGCGAATGGGCTTTGGCCGTGTGTTAGTTAGTATTAATTAATTAATATTAGTAATGTGTTTTCATTTAATTTTTGTATTTTCATTCTCGACTATTCTATGTGCATGCGTTATGCAACACTGCGTTTGCTTGGAACTTAACTTAACTACACATAACTTATGCGCTACATTTTGGTTGCTAAATGTCATTTATTTTGATGTCACTTCGAAACTTGTAAGTCTTTTTACTTTTGGATCGCATCTAGAAGTTGTGCAATTGTTAAACCTAACCATATGACATTTACATATATTTTGTATATATATATATATGCATATACATATATAAATTATTTACACCGATATACTGGACTGCCGCGCGGTAAAGAAATTCCCTCCACTTCTCTCCCTCTGCAAAATGATAATTGACCAAATTGATGAACGGCAACTGAAGGCAGCACACAACCTACGCCAAGTCTCGGATTGGTCGTAACACTTTGATCTAACATAGCTCTAATATACTATAGAGACGAACTGGAATAGCTTAGCCAATTATTCCTATCGATAGATCGATGTGCTAAGAACTACGACGCTTTCATTTAGTTTTCTATCTCTTTTCAGTTTTCTTTTTGCTTATCAGTGTATCATCAACATCAATCAAACACATTTTTTTGTTTGTTTTATTCTTGTTTTCTTTTTTCTTTTTTTTTCGCCTTTAACTGTTTGCCCGAACCATCGACTACTTATTTGCTCACATTTAAAACCCTGTATGTTCAATAGCTATAGCTTCATATACAACTAGACTTTACTTTAACTGCCCATAATTTTTTTGTTATTCATTCAATTTTATTTTTGTGTATATTTATTAGCTAGTTTAGTTAATTTTCTTGGTGAAATTTGCATTTGTTTCTTGCTTGGCACGAATTTTACAACATTTATTTCATTTCCTCTTGAGGTTTGTTTAGTGACAATTACAATCGTATAATATAGATTATACGTACATATATATATATAATATACATATATATATATATACATATATGTGCGTACTAATCATTGATTTTTGATTTTTTTCTTCTGTTTTGTTTGTTTCTTTTATTTTGGGCTTACCTTTATTATAAATAGTTTCTTTTTTTTTTTTTTTTTTTTAAGTATATATTAACAAAGGGCAAAAATATGATAAAAGCATAGCATTACAAAATATTAGAAAGAAGTTGAAAAAAGAAAATGAAACAAGCTGAATAAAAATATGATAGAACTACAAAATCTTAGTTGCTTTTTAGTCAGGAGTTTTTTTGTTTTTTGTTTTTGTTTTGTTGTACATGTCGTTGCTATGTAGAATTCAGTTATGATCTTAGGATCGTAATTATTTGGTGTTTGTGCATAGTTTTTATTAAGTTACTTTAAGGGGGAACTCGAGCTGCGTATATTATTAATTGGTTCCAACTGGGTAGGCGGCCAGCTTTTTGTTAACTGCAGGACTCACTCCTCATACAAAAGGCACTTAATAAAAACGAAAAAAAGAAAGAAAACAAAACCACTATTTTGTTTTCGGAATCAAGTGCCAAGCCTTCAATCAAAATGTGATCCAAGGTGTCTATTTAGTAAATTGGTTTTGTAAATGTTTCTCGATTTTTACAAGTTTCAAGTTTTGGTTTGGTAATAAAAAATTCGTTTTTTGCGCTACGTAATAAGCTATTTGTATTGTCTGTTAACTGGCTTTATGGCTTTATTTAAATTTAATTAATTAATTATTAATCTACTTAAGGAAAATAACTAACTAATGGAAACACAAGCTTCAAATCGTACATAATTTCAATATTAGTTTAGCTTGTTTCCAAATAAATAATCGAATTGAAATTTTATTCTAGTTTATGCTAAGTAAAATATATATGTATAAAAAAATAAGATAATTAACTCTAGGAATGTATCTATTATAATTTGTGGCTACGTAAACAATTGAATTGATTGAAGGTAGTAAACAAGCAAAAGGAAAACTCGATAAGTATATAGTTGTATATAATTGGAATCGATCTATTAGTTGATGCATTTCAATAGGAATAAAAACTTGCAATACCCACCAGTTCCATTTAAACAATGCAATGCACCTTGCACCAACTCAAAATTGTGATAAATCAGAGAGAACTTAAGCATCGGAGCGTGCCGAAGGTTGAATACCCTGGCAGTTGTATATTTCATATGTGAGCAAATGGGTAATTATTGTTGTTATTTGATTTGTTTGGTCTAACTATAGAACTATGGCAGCTATATGTTATGTTCCGATATATGTCGCTCTAGCAGCGATAAGAAGCAGCCCTTATCAAATTTCAGTCGCATTGACCCAAAGGAAACTGAGTTTACATAGGACACAAATGATGTGGCATGGCAAAAATATTTGTAATACGTGCTGCCAGGTTATCATTGTATAGAAAACTCACTTAGCTTTGTGTGCTATGCGTTGGTGTGTGTGTGTGTGTGTGAATAAACAAAACATCGTATAATGTTTTGTATCGAGTTTTATTTGTTATTCTTTTTTTTTTTTTTTTTTTTTTTTGGGGTTTTTTTTTTCTTTTAATTCGATTGTGAACATAATAATTGAATTTGCCTAGAATTTGTTTTTAGTTGTTGTTGTTGTTGTTGTTGTTGTTGCAGTTGCAGTTGTTGCTTATGTATATCTAAACTTAAATTTATCTACACGCAATTGTTGTTCGTTTTTTCCGCAGTAAATTTGCATTTTAGAATTCGAATTTTATAAACTAGTTGGCTTAAAACTTATTGACAATATGACAATATTTACAAACGTCGTGCGACTTCACTTTTTTCTTTATTCTCCTTCATCTCCTTCTTCTTCTTCTTTGGAGTTTCTTTACAACTAACTTAGCGCATTTTAAGTACAAATTAATTGTAATTTGTTTGGAACTAAACTAATTGAATTATGAACAAAACGTATATGGATTTAGGCCTATAAATAATTTATTTAAAAATCTGTATTTTTTTTTTTTTAATTTTTTAGTTTAACAATTTTGAGCATTAAAAACAAATTGAGACAAATCGAGCTGAAAGCGTTTTGCAAAACGCCCACAAATCGCTTTGTGCGTTTCTTTTTGTTCTCATTAAAATACAGCTGTGATTTCTCTTCAATTTCTTTAATTTCTTTTATCTACTATGCAGTCGTACTTGATCAATTTAACTTATAGTTAGTAAATATCTTGTCGCTCATCAAATTTTCTTATAGTGGAAATGCCTTGAAGCCTTGTCTCGCCCCATTTGATCAAGTAAAGCATACACATATTTATATATATTTATATATACGAACATATACGCATACATATCGGTATGCATATATATATATGTGCCGTATTGTAAATTTCATGTTGGATTCTACATAGCCTTTGGTTTTCAGAGACGCGGACGCGCTTTAGAAGGTCCTTTTTTGTTTTCGTTTTCGTTTTCGTTTTCATTTCAGTTTCAGTATGAAAAATCGAATCAAAATCATATAAACATATTTGGTTATTTGCAAAAAACCAAGCCGAACGAAAGCCATACGCAAAAGAATTTGGAACGTAAATTGGTAAATGAAAGTAGAAATTAAAAAAAGAGAGATATAATAGGTTAGTACAATTTCTGGTATTGTGGTGCCAGTGTTTCTCTCTAAATATATGTAAATATATGTTAAGTAAATATAAGTTAAACGGCATTTACTCATCCTCCTCCTCCCTGAAGAGATATGTGCTCCAGTAGACCAGATTGAAGAGCGCAAAGACCAGCGGGAATGTGATTCGCGAGATAACATCGATTCTCTTCGATCTAGAACATTGTCTTGGATAAATATTCAACAAGTACGAAACA